AAATGTGAAAATTCTTCATCACCCTGCCACATTCACTCTTCTACAAGACGTACTGAAATGATACCTATTTTGAGCCGTTCCTAAAGATTGAAAACCAGTTTTCACTGAAACCGCACTGAATTCGAGGTGAACGCTTTTGTTAAGGATTCTGACTTCCTCCACTACATGTAATGGATAGGTTAGACAGTTGCATAGTTGACATGCCACTGGATTGTGATCAATTTCTCTATGATCTTCAAACCTCTAACTCAAAAAACTCTAAAATCACACTTTTAGACATTGGTTACATGGTAACTTGGCAAAATATTTTGAACAACGCTATATATATCGGGCAGTGGTGCCTTTGTTCCCAGGGACCGGCTCAAAGGGAAGATATAATGGAAGCATCTCTAATTTGCGTGCGTGGCAACTCTTTCATCTGCAGACAGTAGGGCTGATAATCACACAAGCGCCAACTGTACCGGCGCGTCGGCATTCTTGAGTCGTTGATTCGCCCACGGAGCATGACCAGAAGGGTACCATTATTCAAGCTTAACATTTGATTGGCCAAAAATCAGGCGACCAGCAAGAAACTCTCCAATCCTTTGCACTCGTTGCCTCATTTACGGCATTGAACATGCAATCTATATGTACTAGATATATTTGACGACGAAATGTGTCTTCGTGCATTTATTGAAATAAATTCGTTCGTTATGGAGCCGCAGTCGTGCCTCACAGTACCACTGACATTGCAGCAGCTAGTTGTCTTTTGTACATGTCTTGCAAATGTCAGTTTACATGCACCGGATATTCTGTCTATTTGAAATGCTTCCTCTGAATTAAAACGATCAGCTCCGATTTGCATGGAGACTTGTATCTCCAAGCCTGTGTGACCATAAGTGTAAAAAATAGTACGGATTATTCCGTGAAACTAGGGTCTAATTTAAACATGACTTAGTAGATTTTTCAGGAAAGGCTTCTTCTGGCAATATCTTGCATTTTATTGACTATGTGTTGAGCCTCTTGGTCAAGCCCTATTCTCTGTGTACCAGTTTGCAGTTCACTGATACTGTCTGCTGACAGCTCTTAAAATGGTGATGTGTTTTTTTTGGGAGCATTACCTTGAGTTATTCGCATAAGCAGACATTCCCTAGTTGGCGATATCCGTTGTATTCACTAGTCCTTAGCACGTTTGCTATAACGCACCAGTTAGGGCGTCGCTGAATAACCGATTTCTCTCTGAAAGTATACCTGCCTCTTCCTTGTTCAACCGCGTTATACGCTGGTCTGCCGGTCAACGTCCTTCGCGTTCCGCCTTCCACACGAAAAGCCCATTGGCTTGAATAAATTGTTCATACTCAATAATTGTGCCCAATAGAGTTGACCTTTGTTCAGTGTCAACATCTACAAAGGCCATTCTTCACGTTGTCCAATCATCAACATTCATAGTGCTGCTGTTGTACTCAGACCAAACAATGATTTTGGCCATCTTTGCAACAATAACACATTCGATCAAGGCAACATATAGGCGGAATTTTGTGGAAAGGGTTACTCCTTTATCAGCCAAAATATGGGTGTGCCACCAAAAGCACTGGACGAGAGGACGATCCCTCCATTTGACTTTAATTCAATCATGCCAAGATAGAAGATGATAAAAACGATGATAGAATTGTGATGACAGATCGAACTGCTGGCAAAGTTCACTGTAAGTGAAATTTCACTTAACCAGATGGCAACCTTGTGACGAGTGACAAATATGTTCCAACATTAATGGAGTACGCAGTGGTGATCCATGAAGATTAAATAAGGCAAAATTCTAATAAAGAAATGTACGCTTTATCATATGAAATATTCATCGCTGTGTTGCCTTTTAACATCATTAGACCAGCCGTAAATCATATGAGTCTATTCGGCATTTCAGTTAAAAAATTCATCATGCCACTTCACAATATTTACAAAAGATTTTTTCTAAGACTGTCTCATCTCTTTGTGATAGGCTGATTATGACAGTTTTGTTCACAGACTCCACAACGATTCGGTTGGTTCTAAATTTACCGTTAACTAATTTGTAAAAAGTAACATTACAGCTGGCCAAGAGGCGGATAAAAAGCCAATTGATTGGAATGTTTGGAGCATCTGGCATTGTCATGCGTTGTATGTTGACCATTGGAAGTTTTTCACTTTGGGACTATTAGAAAAGACCTATTGCAATTTTGCAACACTAAAATATCGAACAACAACGAAGTTGACACAATTGATTAGCACACATGAGAGTCGGTCATCAGGTGAACCAAGGCAAATTACAGCCCTAAGAGGTATTCGCATCAGCATGGCCTTCCCCCTTGCCCATTTTGGTATGACTAGCGCGAAACAGCGTGCAGTTCCGGTTATTGGCAAGTCCACTACTTCCTACTTGGTTCTCGAGTAGTTATACTGAGACAACATTGGGTAAATAGCTTGCTCTAGAGAGTTGGTGGTTGAAAGAACTTCTTCAAGGTTCAAACCGGTACTTCTTACCGCTGTGCCACCCACGCCACATCCTGCAGAACTGACTAACGAATTACGGAAACAGAAAGATTTAGTTTGAGTTCATGTTGATTGATTCTGTAAGACAAAATTCGACCGATCTTAATCAGACAGTATGCTTTAATTTTTAATTTCATAGACATAATCTGAAGAGTCGAAAATCCGTGACAACTTTTGAATAATTCAGGCATATTGCACATCTACAAACTTTGTAAACACCGTATAACTTAACAACAGCATTGAACCTCATCGACATTGAGAGCAGTTTAC